TAGGAAGACAAAAGGTAACTGGAGTAATGGACAAGTTTAGCCTTGGAGAACAAAATGGAGCCAGGCAAAGGCTAACAGAGTTTTGTCAAGAGAACACGCTGGTCATAGCGAACACCCTCTTCCAAAAACCTAAGAGGTGACTCAACACGTGGACATCACCAGATGGGCAACACCGAAATCAGATCAATTATATTATTTGCAGTCAAAGATGAAGAAGCTCCATACAGTCAGTAAAAACAAGACCTGGAGCTGACTGTGACTCAGATCATGAGCTACTCATTGGAAAATTCAGGCTTAAACTGAAGAAAGTTGGGAAAACCATTCAGGTTTGACCTAGATCACATCCCTTATGAATATACAGTTGTCACCGGAACTCCTCTAAGGACGGTTCCGAATGCCCAACTCAGACTTAGTGGGCATGGCATGAGTAATTTTCCCGTGTATACAGAGGTCAGATTGGCCAACGAACGCTCCTATTTCCCAGGAAGTGAGACAACACACTAGGTTTAATGAATAAATGTTGCCTTTTACTAAGCAGTTTTCAAGCATACGAAAAACAGATGCACACACAGAATCACACAAGTTCCTTAGTTACAATAGTATATAGAAAGCAATCAGCAAGGAAATTAATAAATTCAACAGACAAGGGGGATACACAGTAGGATATCGCTTATACTTATCTGAGGTCCGAGCTGAGAAGAAATCTCCTCTTAGAAGAAGTGGGGCAGCTTAAGGATCAGTGGGTGAAATTCTAAAAACACACGAGCTGGTCCAGCCAAGCCACGTGCGGGTTCTCGGGTTGCGACTCCCGGGAATGCAGTAAGAATCACCTGCAGTGCTTAAGTTGCAAGGTAGGGGAGGGGTGGGTTAACCAGAGAAACAACGCTGTGTCTCTCTTTTTAAAAGCTAGGTTTTTGGGTTTGGCTGAAGGCCAAAAACCCTTAGGGTCCGTCCTCTTTACTATGGCTATAGGTTAAAGAGTAGTGACGTCCTAATTAAGAACATAAGAACATAAGAGACGCCCACTGCCCATCAGGCCAAAGGCCCATCC